TTCTGTCATTTGTATTTTAATATGGCCTAGATTATTTTAGAAATTCCAATTTTTATTTATAAGTACCATTCCGAGGTGAAATTGCTCTATGGACCGCTAAAATGTTACCAAAGACCCTCTGCTATTTTTTTAGTGTATGGAACTCCTAGTAATGTTACATGGACTTCCCGGGGTCATATGGATCCCAGTTGAGAACCACTGCTTTAAGTGATCACTTATGTTAGGCAGCGTCGAGCTAGGCCAGTACTTAGATAGAGGATCGCTTGGGAACACCGGGTTCTGTAAGCAAAAATATAAAACCCGAAATATGTTCCGGCTTTAAATAATCTACAAACGATTGATAAACTGTAAAAAACAAATCGATCAACCCAAGGAGAGGGGAACTCAGATACCAATGATATGACTAATCTAGAGTGGTCTCCCCTTGTTTTATTACTCTCCTCTTTGAGAGAGCTATTTCTGCTTACTGGGACTATAAAAGGACACTATACACGAACCTTGTATTCTCAGTTGAATAAAGCTTTCTTAAAGCCTATACCTGTGTACTTTTGTCATTAGAACCATATCAATAATTTCTTTTGCATCCAGTGATGTAGACAAGTTCTTATTTTTGAACAAATGCATTCGAAGTTCAGAGGCTGGGATTAGCTCTGTTTAAAGCGTCTTCTCACTTAAAAAATGCTTCATGTGCAGGTATAGCTTGATTTCTTTTAACATCGGGAATAGCTACATGCAATTTATATTCTGATAGCTTCTTTTTTCGCACTTCTCGCTTGTGGAACTCACTTCCGGTTTCTTGCTTTCCTGTCACCTACGATTAACCACACCAAGAACAAATCCTTTAAATGGCGACAGTCTTAGTGAAATCTGTACGCATGATAAGCATATGTGTTTGTTCGTGTACGTGTGTGTATATGTGTGTGTACGCGCACGCGTATATTTTATTGAAAAGTTATATATTTCATTTTTAATTATATTTTTCTAGTTAATGTGTAAGTTATCGCACGGCTGGATCAAATATTTGGAGAAAATATTTGCTAGAGTCGCTTCGATCATCCATAATCATTTCCAACATTGAATAAATATATTAAATTATAATTAGTTTTTATATGTGTGCGCATGCGTATGTGTTTCTATGTGGGTTGCGTTCACTTGTATATATATATATATATATATATATATATATAGAAAAAGTTTCAAATTAAAAATTATAATGTTTTATTTTATGAAAGTATTTATTTATTTATATATATATTTGATATTTCAAATTGTCCTCAATTTTTATCAGAAATAACTGTTTGTTACAAATAAATTAAAATTACTCTTTATTTCTGATGAAAAATTGAGGACAATTTGAAATATCAAATATATATATAAATAAATAAATACTTTCATAAAATAAAACATTATAATTTTTAATTTGAAACTTTTTAATTTGAAACTTTTTTTAATTTTAATTTGAAACTTTTTCTATATATACATATTAAGAAAGTATACGTGGCTTCTCATTATGCTATATATATATATGTATATATATACATTGGTTTATGTTATAAATACAGATGTTCACAAATGTTCACTACATTGGACATCTAATGAAGACGAAACATTAGCAAATGGCGTGCAAAACTAACTTGAAAATGGTACCTACGATGCAGTAATCCCTTTCTAACCAATCAGAAACATGCATCTTTTATAACCAATCAGAAACATACATCTTTTATAACCAATCAGAAAGAGAAACAAATATATACTTCTCCAATTAACAAATAGTTCATGTAACCTTTTGCGGGTGGCTGTGAATTATAAATATTAAGATTCTAAGTCATTTTTTTTATTAGTCACTAGGCCATGTGGGATTTTTATTACTAACGCCATTTTGCTTAGTTTTGTCGGAAATAATGAAGAATAGACTTACGTGAGTGGAGCGGCGATGCCGACCGGAAGTCGTAAGGCGTGAATGCCTCATTCTCCTCCTCTTTAGTAGCCTTCTATTTGAACTGGCGGAAGAGGTGAGGGCAGAGGTAGAGCGTATGTAAATATAAATATAAACGTGAACATTGAAGTCAACACTCAGAGGCGACAGGCTGTTTCATGCTAGACGCAATCGTCAGGCGTTCTGACGATTGCGCCTAACTCAAGACAACCTCTGATTGTTGACTTATCTTATATATATACATATATATAGGTATATATATATACATATATGTATATATATATATATATAGATAATATTAGTGGAAAATATACATACATATGCAAAATATATAAATACCCATACATGTATATTTTCAGAAAAAAATTCCAAGAGGAAGAATCCAGGTAGAACTCAATGTCTAGGACAGAGTAAGGATATAATAAAAAGGCTTAAACACTAATATTCCATGATCATAATTTATTCCATTGGAATCGTAAATACGATCCAATTCATCAGACCTACAAATTCAAAAAGAAAACAGAAAAAAACCACTCCGGAAATAAAAACAGAATTTAGAGAGAGTGTAAGTATGAGGAGGAGGGAGATTAAACATTAACGGAGGGAATTTTAGGAGAGGTGGGAGGAGGGGTTTAAATAAGAGAAAAGGATGAATGTTGACGGATGTCTAATGCATAAAGATACATTTAGATACATTTCGTGGTGACATACACACACTATAGACAATTTAATGTTAGAATAGGAGAGAGGGAAAGACGAGGTGGGGGAGAGAGATGGGACGAAGGAAAGTAAAATTGCGTTTACTTAAAGGGCCGCTTTGTAATTGAGAAAATTTGACAAATTTAATATCGACTACAGGCTACAAATCAAATATAAATATATGAAGATAAATATAACGATTATCTAATCCAGCAAGGACCTATATTTCTATGTTCAAAAACACATGCGAATATATATATATATATATATATATATATATATATATATATATATATATGCGATGATGGCGTTATCTCTGCAGTTGATGACTTTTTTCACTAAAAGGATGAAAGTTTTTTCACTCATGTTATTCAAGCACTTAAACACTGATGGAAGAAATGTTGGAAAATAAACCGCATTTGGCTACATTCCATGAGAGTATCTCGAGAAAGGCAGAAATCCATCTCTTCTCCGCTAGTTAAATACCAGAGGTAGACTGAGCTTTCGAGTTTTGGTCTGTGGCCATTCTAGGAAAAGGCAACGGAAAGCTTCTCTATTTTTCCCTAGAAACCATGGAACTTCAGTGACAGTAAAGAAACGTAATCTATGATTGCCTACGTCCTGAATGAACGAGACATTTAAAAAAAAAGAAATTATCTCATAGCCATTTTAAAAAATAAATTATTTAAAACACATACCGTGTGGTAGGGAGCGCTTCTCTTCTGAATGCCAAACGTCTGCTGAGAAATGAACAGTGACGAAAACCTTACTGGTATCTTAAAGGCCTTTTCCGGGAGTCACTTTACTTTCTTTTTTTTTTTAGTACTTGCGGCATCAATAAAATAAAAATAAGTTGAAATCTAATACAGAAACCGGTGCGATTTTACAAAGGAAAGTACGTGCGTTGTTGACCCTTTTGTTTGATAACCCTATCCAGTGCCGCCATCTGTGCTTTGTGGATTCGTGAGCTATCGCCCCAACAGCGATCTTCCAAGGAACGCTGGCAGCAGTTTGGTAGTGGTGATACTAATGAGCTGAACGGCAGCATTTTATGATACCGATTTGATATTGAACTCCAGAAGTCACGTCGCCGATTTCGATTCCTCTCTCCCGACAACCCTTTAACAACTACAAACAACCCCATTTCATTCCATCCGCTATCACCTGCGTTTTCAGAGTCCTTGAAGAATTGTCTTATTTAGCCTCTTATCAATGCTCTACATTCTGCCAAGCCCCTGACCCATCGTACAGTATTCCATCCATTCACGTCTTTCACGCTTCGATTTTCAGGGACTCATTTGTTTCTTCAGCTGAAATAGATACTGTCTGATGTACCAACTTCAGATAGGAGTTCTCCACAGCTGCAAAGAAAAGATTATATCACGAAAAGAGAAACGAGAAAAGATGATAATCGCCATGTCAGCTCTTTTATATAGATGTTTTTTCGGAAAATAATGGCCGATTTTATAGCAGAATTTATCCGAAGTGCAACGTCATATATACTCAATATTTCTCTAGTCTAAATATATATTTTGTAAAATTAACTACTCTTCTATAAATCTGAGATGTGTTTCATTTCACAGATAATAATTTGCCTCTTTAATAGTCCCAGAAAACAGAAGAATTATGAACCTTTTAGATTCATACCTTTGCCATGGTATTTGCACTAGCTGGAATTAGAACTCCGATTAACAGTTCCGAGTTATTATCCACTAGGAGCATGACCCGGCGTTGCCCGTGCTTGATTCAAAATCGTACGACTCATACAGCAATCGCTATCACTTAAAATATTTTTGCCCTTCCTTGCCTCTAAAGGAGTGCCCTTTGCCGTGCCGATGTTGCTACATGCCTTACTTCTTGCCTATCTCACAATGCGAATTTTTTCTAAGCTCTATACTAAACATTAAATCTGTTACGAAAAAAGAACTAAACAAAATGGACACAAAACGATCAGCTTTAAAAAAGGACTCGTAACTGGAAAAACCGAATGAAAAAAGAATGTTAACAACAAATACTTTTTCACACCCAACGTAGCGATCGATGCTAGTTAACATTCGTGTCAGTCAGCTGTTGGCTCTCACTCTGACCAGTACAAAATGGCCGCAAACTACATGAAAACTGTCGTAGAAGCATGAAAAAAATCGATTATTTCCACTATCGATGGGAGTTGGGAAATGCAAAGTCGGTCTTGGCCTTCCCGCTAACTTGGAGCATGTGCATGCAAATTTTGGTGCAAATCCGTCGAAAATTGCGGTCGTGCATTCATTACACACACACACACACACACACACACACACACACACACACACACACACACACACACACACACATCCTGCCTTTTATAGATAGAGATTACATCCAAGCTTATAGCACCTGAATTTCCTAAGCTGTCATCCATCTAGATACTGACCAGGCTCGACGTTGCTTAACTTCGGTGATCGTATGGGAACCGGTGCTTCAACATATGACCGGAAAACATTCTTATTTAAGCAATGGATGAAGATACGATACAATAAATAAATAAAGTAACTCAGCGTATGAGTCGCAGGTTTTAAAACGTATACAAATCGGCTCAATTATGATTTTATTAATAATTCTCTTGATTTAACCAAATTACCTCATGGAAGGCATTAAAGCCACTAAGACACAAAGGATTACTGAGTGTGGAGTAATAAGAAAAAAAAAAGGAACATTATTAAGGAGCAAGAAGAATAGAAGACTAATAAAAAAGACAGTAGATAACGATTGAAATTGAATTTATATTTTTGAAGATTAAATTTGGCTGGAAAGCATGGAACCAGAAGAGAGTTCCGCAAGCGAGAAGTGCGATAGAGTTCAATTAGAATTGATGAGACCTTACCGCTAATCTAGCAGTGCGCTTAAAGTCATAAAGTCTAGGTACGATAGTGAAGAGTTCACCAGAAAATATTTACAGAAAAGGTATCGTCATAGGGTAAGTACATTATCACGGTGGGAAAGTGACTAAAGCTGAGATTCCAGGTTAGGACAAATAGTATTGCAGATTCTTCTTTGGATTTTATCAAGAATTTCTAAAAAAAATAAAAAAATAAAAATAAAAATAAAAAAAAACAGCAGGAGCACCGGACCATATGTAGCAACAATATTCAAAGTATGGACGGATGACAAACTTATAAATATTTCAGATAGATTCAGGGGAGAAAAACAGTATAGCATGATAGAGTGAACTAACTTTCTTAGCAGTAGACACAGCAATTGATTCAATATAATCTTTCCACTTCATGTCAGCCGAGAATGTAATGGGTTTGAAGAATCTGATGCGTACAAAGTATATTGAAGGCAAGGAGGCCTGAAGGAAACATCGAGTAAGCTACGTAACGAGCTTGTGTAATTGGATGGCAGAACAGAGTTTGGGAAGATAGTAAGATGACAAACATTGCCTTGAGCTACAAAGGAAGTTGTAGAGAGCTATGATCACCTACTCCCTGAAGGACATGGCACACAAAAGAAAAAGAAAAAGAATCATTCGCATCAAGATAATATCGATCCTAATAGTGTATAATAATTAAATATTTTAATGATTTGGCAGTAAATTTATTCTGTCACGATTAAAAGTAGGTTTACTTGAATCGACAAATTGCCTGCAGACGTTTTCAAATGGTCCGATTGTGTGTGAATCTGCTCTTACATATAATATAGGCTTTGATTTGGTTTGTTTAACGGCATATCAAATCCTTATGGGCCATTTAATGCTGAAATTTTATTTTCTTGTGAGTTTTGGGGGTTTTTTTCTTTTCAAAAAATGTATTGCTGGTAATTTTTTTTATATTCTTTTAATATGAAAATATATTGCTGGTAATTTGTTTATATTCTTTTACTATGAAAATATATTGCTGGTAATTATTTCTTTTTATTATGAAAATGTATTGCTAGTAATTTAAAAAAAATTACTATGAAATTCGTATTGCTGAGATTATTTTATTTTTTATGTTGAAAATCTAGTGCTTCTATTTTTTAATTTAAAACCATGAAAATGTATTTTTAGTGATTTTTTTTTTTACTATGAAAATGTATTGCTGAGAATTTTTAAAATCTTTTTTGCTATGAAAATGTATGATTGATATTTAAAAAAAAAATTTTTACTATGAAAATGTATTGCTGGTAATTTTTATTTTTTACTATGAAAATATATTGTTAGTAATTTTTTCTCATGTATTTTTATCTCATGTTTTGACCCCATAGCTGCGACCCTTACAAGTGCTACCACCGCATGTCAAAATTGACCTGAGAACAATAGCAATTAAGGAATGGTTCTATGCTCTTCAAGTGATCAGAGGCATTGTTGCAGGATGTTGTTTATTGTTATACTCAGGACGATATAATATAAGGAATGTTGGAGAGGAATCTCTATGTCTAATCAGTTTTTGACGGTTTTTGTGTGACGTTATTTCTTTTATCCTGCAGAGGGATAATATCCTTCACGTTCATTACTGTTTGCTAACTTGCTTGCAGCTTCTGTTACAGTGTGAAACCATAACAATAAGACATTGCTGTGTTCAGGTAGCAAACGGTTGTAATGGTTTGCTCCATTACAACACGACGAAACGATTTGAATTAAATATTTGAGCTGATTTAATTTTGAGGAAGGATTAGCGGGAAGCAAGTTTGTCAGACCAAAGACAGCAAAGTTTCTTGATTGTCATTCAGAAACTACATTTAAAGAGCAAGAAGCAAACGATTATAACGAAGGTGATTTTTTGTTAAAGAACTTTTCATCAAGTCTCAAAAGTGTACAAGCTTCCGATTTTCAGTCAAGTACCCAATTCTTTCCTTTTTTTTTTTTAACTTTGCCAAAAGTTTTCCGACTGTTGTATGGGTTACTCTCAGTTTGTCTCCTACTAATGCCAGAGTGTTTGTTTCCACGGCTGTTTTCTATTCTTCCTTCTCAAGTGACGACTTGTGAACACGCCCAGACTTATCTTGGAGATCAGAGCCAAAGTTTGAAATTAATGTCGCAGAGTTCGTTTCTGGAACTGATATCTGTCTCCAAGTACTGTTGCTTCAACAGCGCAAAAGCCGATCTTGAAATTATAGAATATAACACATGGACATATTTATATTTGGTTCGATAATCTGTACAAAAAAAAAAAGGAAAAATAATGAAAACATTCACTCCACACCCAAAAGAAGATTCAGGCCTTTAAAATATAAAGATATACGTATAAAAAGAATGGAACAATGAGAGAAAACCAATCACACTGAAGCAATGCACACTGGCCTTTTTATTAACTTACCGTAATTTCTCGAAAATAATACGCACCCATAAATAATATGCACACCAAAAATGATCCAAAAATTAAGAAATATATCTATCCCTGTGCATAATGCGCAGCTAAATAAATTTTGTCAAAAAAAATAATAATAATTACGAAGCCATTTTGTCGACCTTGACATTAAGAATAAACTCGAAACTAAGCGACTAAAATAATGTTGAAAATTACCCTCCAGTTTTCCCGATAAATATAAAGTTTTGTTTTATCGCCAAAATATCGTTAAAAAGTGCGAGTTATAGTGCAAAATTTAAACAAAAAATAATAGAATTAGCAGAAAGAATAGGAAACAGAGCTGAAGCAAGAGAATATGAGTTGAATGAGGCTAACATACGTTTATGGAGAAAGAATAAAAATGAACTAAAAAAAAAGTGTAAATCAAGTGCCAAACCTATAGGTAGAAGAAGAAAAATTCAATATCCAGATATAGAACAAAGTTTAGTTGAATTTGTTTGATATATCTCTTAGGAGAAGAACAGCCATAGCCTAGCGTTTGCCTGATGACTACGAAGATAAGTTTTGAATTTTCTGCGTTTAGTTATTCGTCTAAGAAAAAAGCACAACTATCCTTTAGGCTGTATAATTTTGAACAGGACGAAGATAATATTGTGAATGATAATTTGTGAGATTACACAATTTAGAGATTCTGTGACCTTTACCTAATGGAAAAGTAATGCTCTTGCAAAGAATGGATAACAATATATATATATATATATATATATATATATATATATATATATATATATATATATAGATATAGATATAGATAGATAGATAGATAGATATAGATAGATAGATAGATAGATAGATAGATAGATAGATAGATAGATAGATAGATAATATTAGTGGTCAATAAATATATATCACAATCCTCACACTTATTCCATATGTGGCCTCCTTTGTAAATCACTTGCAGGTCTTAAATGCCACTTAAGATTATCGCACAAAATTTCATAACTGAATCAATAAGCTGTCAGGTATATATATATATATATATATATATATATAGATAGATAGATAGATAGATAGATAGATAGATAACTATACTCGTTTTGAAAAAGCCTCGAATTTTTGATTTGCCAATAATCAAATCAATCTCGAGGGAAAAAAAGGTTTTAAAAAAAGAAAGAGCTGGAAACATGAAAGTCTGTCGAAAAAAAATCGCACAGATACAGGTTTGAAGCCCAAGTAAACAACTAACTAAAAGAACTCAATACAACCGTAGAGCAGACCTAGATACAAACTTTCCCTGACGATCCATTTAGGTGAAACCTGGGTAGGTTTGTCTGGCTCACTAGGTCTATCTATCTATCTATCTATCTATCTATCTATCTATCTATTTCAGTTTCTTCATATCTATCTATCTATCTATCTATCTATCTATCTATCTATCTATCTCTGCCTGTTCATTATCTATCTATCTATCTATCTATCTATCTATCTATCTATGTATGTATGTTGTGGTAGGATCCACCTAATTTGCATAGTGGAGTACCGACAATATAAATATGGTTGGTACCGGGAAGACGAGGGGAGGAATCAAGAGATTCAATCCAGAGACTCTGCCCGACTGCGACTAAGTCAACACATTCTCCAGGAACGGTCTTCCCAAGAATATACAAAAGGCTATATGTAAATATTGTGTACCTTTCTTGTTTCAATACATTTTGTTCTAAGTACATTTTGTGTTGTATTATTATTCCTGCATTAGTCAAGTTTCAATATATATATATATATATATATATATATATATATATATATATATATATATATATATATAGCGTGTAACAGCAAAATTGTTTAGTTGTTAGATTAAGCTTTGAACCGTTGTATCTTAGAAATGATTAAATATATTTTACTGGAATTTTCCGAGGTTTTTATAACACTATTGGACTCTACTTTGAGAAATAACGATGTATAATTACTCTTTAAGCTTAACAGAAGAATCTTGCTGCAATCGATCATAAACGAATATGACAAGTTCATCATTAATTAGTCATAGCTAAGAATCAGAAGCTGACGGAAGTCTGAAATAAAGTTCATAATAGCATACATACACACACACGCGCGCGCACACACACACACGCACACACACACTCATATATATATATATATATATATATATATATATATATATATATATATCAGGATCAT